CCCAAAAAACTTCCCACCACTGTGCTCCAGCCCCCCGAGATGTCCCCAACCCCCCTAAATCCTCTCCTGGACCTCCCGAAACCTCTTTGTGGTCCCCCAAACATCCCCTAACCCACAAAACACTCCCAAGAAAGCTCCCAAGACACCAAGATGCCCTCGAACCTGTCTCAAGACCCCAAATCTTCATCCTAAACCCTCTTGTAGCCCCTCAAAACCCAACACACCCAACTGGACCCACACAAACCTCTCCCAGGTACCCCGAGATGGCCCCAGACCACTTTCTAAATCTTCAAGACGCTCCAAATACCCCCCCCAAACCTCTTCTAAACCCCGTGGGACCCCAAGACACCTCTCTAGAACCTCCCTAACAATCCCAAACTCATCTAAGGTTTCCTTGACCTCCAAAACACCACCAAAAGCTCCCCCAGGTGGCATGAGATGCCACCAGATGCCCTCCCACATTTCCAAGACACCCCTAGACCCACAAAAACCTCTCCTAGACCCCCTTCTATGTCCCCCAAATCCCCAAACAACCCTTAGGAAGCCCCAGAAACCTCTCCCAGGTGTCCCAAGATAGCTCCAGATCCACCACCTGCATCTCTAAGATGTCCCCAGGACCCACAAAATCCTCCCCTAGACACACTAAGGCCCAAAGTACCTATGTAGGACCCCTAAAATAACCCCAAACTCACCTTAGGTCCTCCTGATCCCCACAAAAACACCAGAAACCTCCCCAAGATGGCATAGGACGCTCCCACACCCATCACCTGCACCTCCAAGATGCCCCCAAGACCTCCAAAATCATCTCCTAGCCACACTAAGACCCCAAAATAACTCTATAGGACACCCCACAAAACCCTGAGGACACCCAAAACGCTGTCACCCGCAGCCAAGCTCACCGATGAGCATGCGGTACTTGTGGGGGTGCCGGGCATCCTCGATGACGGGGATGACGTTGGTGCGTTTCTTGGCCACGTTGATGAGGTCGCGGCCGGAGCGATGGGAGAACTCGACGGCGTAAACCAGTCCCTCCTGCGGGACAGGTAGGGTCACCCCCCTTGCGGGGACAGCCTCGGGGTCCTCGAGCCTGGGGGTCACCCCTGGGGACGTGGAGCTGCCCCCCGTCGGGACAGCGTGAAGACAGGGATAGGGATTTGTCCCCTGTGGGGACAGCCTTGGGCAAAAACATCTCTGAGGACACAAATGTGCCACCTGCAGGGACAATCTCAGGAGGTCCAAGTCGCCCCTTCCCAAATGTTACAGGGATGTCCCCAAGGGGATCGATCACAGTCCTGTCCTTGGGTCCCCTCACCCCTGGGACACCATGAAGATGTCCCCAAGGAGATCACAATCCCATCCCCAGGTCTCCTCAGCCTTGCGACACCATGAAGATGCCTCCAAGGGCATCACAACCCATCCCCTCACCTCTGGGACCCCATGGTGACGTCCCCATGGGGCACACAACCCCATCCCCAGGTCCCCTTGCCCCAGAACGCCATGAAGATGTCCCCAACGGAATCACAACCCCATTCCCGCGTTCCCTCACCCCAGAACACCAGGCAGATGTCCCCAAGGAGATCACAACTCCGTCCCCACGTCTCCTTGCCCCAGGACGCCACATCAACGTTCCCAAGGAGACCACAACTCGTCCCCACTTCCCCTCAACCCAGGACTCTTGTGTCCCCTCCCCCGGCGGGGGGGTCCTTACCGGTCCCACGATGTCGGAGACGTGGGACACGGTCGTCCCCGAGGCGGCACCCAGGTAGAGGACCTTCGCCCCCGGGCGAATGTGGATCTGGTCGATGCCTCCCAGGATGGCGGCCGCCAGCTTGGAGCGGAACGGGTTCCAGGCGCGGTACTCCACCTTGGTGTCACCGTCCTGGGGACAGGGGACACCCCAGGGATCCGTCACCCCCGGCGGTGACACCCCCAGGACCTGCACACCCCACACTGCCACCTCCCAGTGCCTCCAGTTTGGAGTCCGAGAAGGTCCAGGTGCTGGTACTCCAGCTTGGTGTCACCATTCTAGGGATAAGTGATACCCAAGGTCGTGTCACTCCCAGTGGTGACACCCCCAGGACCTTCACACCCCCCAGTGCCACCTCCCAGTGCTCCCAGTTTGGAGCCTGAGGAGCTCCAGGCATCGTAATCAACCTTGGTGTCACCAGCCTGGGGACAGGGGACACCACAGGGACCCCTTCCAGAGCTCCCAGTTTCCCCCAAGTCCCTCCCAGTTGCCCCCAAGTCCTCCCCCAAATCCTTTTCCGTGTTCCCTAGTCCCCCCCAGTGTCCTCCCAGTTGCCCCCAGTGCCCATCCAGTTGCCCCCATGGCTCCTAGGTCTCCCCCCAGTGCCTCCCAGTAGCCCCCAGGCCCTCCTAGTTGCCCCCAGGCCTTCCCCAGTGGCTCTCAGGTGCCCCCCAGTTCCCTCCAAAGCCCTCCCTGTGCCCTCTAGTCCTCCCCCAGTGCCTCCCAGTTGCCCCCAGTGCCCTCCCCTGCCCCCAAATCCTCCTCCAGTCCCTCTCAGTTGCCCTCCAAATGCCTCCCGGCACCCTCCCGGTAGCCCCAAGCTCCTCCCAGTTGCTCCCAGTGCCTCCTACACCTACCCCAGTGCTTCCCAGTAAGCCCTCCCTGTGCCCTCTAGTCCTCCCCCAGTGCCTCCCAGTTGCCCCCAGTGCCCTCCCCTGCCCCCAAATCCTCCTCCAGTCCCTCTCAGTTGCCCTCCAAATGCCTCCCGGCACCCTCCCGGTAGCCCCAAGCTCCTCCCAGTTGCTCCCAGTGCCTCCTACACCTACCCCAGTGCTTCCCAGTTGCCTCCAGTGCCCTCCCAGCTGCCCCCCAGGTTCCTTCCCATTCCCCCATATTCTCCCCAGTGCCTCCCAGTAGCGCCCCCAGAACTCCTAGTACCCCCTATGCCTACCCCAGTGCTTCCCAGTTGCCCCCAGTCCCTCTCAGTTGCTTCTGCTGCCTTCCCAGTGCCCTCCCGGTAGCCTCAAGTGCCTCCCAGTTGCTCCC